GATAGATAGATAGATAGATAGATAGATAGATAGATAGATAGATAGATCTATCTGATATGATATGATATGATATGATATGATATGATATGATATGATATGATAGAGAGATAGATAGATGGGTGGATAAATGGATAGACAGACAGATCTGATAGGCCACACAGACAGACAGACAGATAGATAGGTACATGCTGGTAGATAGATAGAGGAAGAGATTTAGAGAGAGGGAGAGAGAGAGATACAGAAATAGACAGACAGACAGAAATACATACAAACGGACAGACACAGACAGATAGATAGATAGATAGATAGATAGATAGATAGATAGATAGATAGATAGATAGATAGATAGATAGATTAGAGATAGAGATGGCAGACTGATGGATCAATGGATAGACAGACAGACCAGATAAATGATGGACAGAAGGACAGATGGATGGGTCAGATGAGATAAATGAGAGATGGATAGATGGATGGAAAATAGACAGGAAAACAGATGAGTGAGAGTGAGAAGTGATTTATAGGTCTTGTTTTCTTCTAATCCCCATCCATCCAACATTGGAAATAGAGATCGGATTTTACTTTCTTTGTTGGAATGACCTGGGAATCTTTGGCATTTATTTTCTGTAAAGGTTTTGTCTCGTTCCACCTCATCCCTTTCTAGGTGAAAGCCGTCAAAAAAGGGCACATCCTGATGATTGATGAGGCAGACAAGGCGCCCACCAACGTTACCTGCATCCTGAAAACTTTGGTGGAGAGCGGCGAGATGATTCTGTCAGATGGGAGACGCATTGTTTCGAGTAAGCGGCCCCAGAGAGAAAGCATCACCGGCTTTATTGTAGACGAATAAATTAAGAGCTGTTTATAACATATGCACGAGGGAGTGTAATTTTTTTTCAGAGAAATGGAGGGGATTAGTTATTAATTTATACTAATCGATAGATATAGATATAGACCGACAGAAGTAGGTAGGTAGGTAAGTAGGTAGGTAGGTAGGTAGGTAGATAGATAGATAGATAGATAGATAGATAGATAGATAGATAGATAGATAGATAGATGAGATAGAGACAGAGACAGAGACAGAGACAGAGATAGAGATAGAGATAGAGATAGAGATAGAGATAGAGATAGAGATAGATAAGACCACTCACACATCATCACAAAATATCCAGAACTGTAAAGACTACCATCTTGAAATTTGGCATGTCTGTTCCTCTTGGCTTTTAGGGGCTCACTAAGGAAGGATTTTTCTAAATGACCATCAGAGCATTAGAATTTCCTATATTATTATTATTATTAACACGCTCTGATGCTAAGGAGTTCTACTCCCCGTCCCCACCTGAAAAGAAATCTCTTCCAAAGGCAAAACACAAGCAGAGGAGTTTCAGTTTCAGAGGACCCAGAAGCTTTAATACAGAACAGTTGAGCTAAGCTACACCCAGGCTCCTTGCTGTCTCCTTGCTCACACAGCAAATACTGTTTCAGTTTCCAAACAGCCCTCCATTCTCACACACTGACAGGACGCTAGCCAGATGAATACCAATGGATGCTGGTAGGCAGAGGCAGAATTTTTTTCCCTTATTTTTTCCTCCCCCCAAAACTAAGCCCGACCGCATAGTTCCGTAGCGAACTATGCTAGTTTTAAATATACAGTGCATCATGGAAAATGCAACCGTTTTGTTTTGCTTTTTTAAAGAATACAAGCAAGAATTCAACAGGTACATTAGCAGCTTTCTCGCTCTAGAGTAAGCCCAGAGAGATCTGTTGTTTTCCTGCCTTTCATTTAACACTGTTATAATCAGGGACAGATATTCACACCTGTCATTTGTATAATCTTTAGCATAAATCATGCAAAAAAAAACTTAATCAGACCTTACACCTGCGGGAAAAATGCTAGGATATGATGCTAAACCAAAAAAAAAAAAATCTCTAAAATATCCTGGCCTCCCCTACTTCCAATCCAGATCTAGTTCCTTTTATCTTTATTCTGGACTTATAACTAAAAATATAAATAGCTACCGGCTGTATGTTTAAAATAGCATATACTGTGGCCCCAAGTTCTTAAAGTAATAAAGTAATTTGGTCTGCTAGTTTGCCCTTTGATCTGAATAGCACCTGAACAAATAAGAATGCTATATTCTTTTAACTGTTACTATTAAACTATCTTTAAGAATTCAAATAAAACAGTTGAATTTATAGCGGTTTAATAGATTTACAGTTTATGGAGACTGATTGCTGTGTTGCTATACGGAGCCCGTACCTGTTATCTCTTTGCTATCTTTTGATTATTATTATTTTTTTAGATATTTCATGACCCTACTAGGGAACATTATCAGTGCCAGAAGGGAGTGAGGTTTGGGACTCTGACCTCTGAAAAAATAAAATGGTTACTGGAACTGGGCAAGGCTAGTCTAGGGAAGAGAAGGGCCAAGGGAGACAGGATAGCAGCCTTCCAGTATTTGAGGGGCTGCCATAGAGAGGAGGAAGAGGTCAAGCTATTCTCTAAAGCACCTGAAGGCCAGACAAGGAATAATGGATGGAAACTGAACAAGGAGAGATTCAACCTGGAAATAAGGAGAAACTTTCTGACAGGGAGAACAGTCAACCCATGGAACAGAAGTTGCCTTCAGAAGTTATGGGAGCTTCATCCCTTGAAGCTTTCAGGAAGAGACTGGACTGCCATTTGTCAGAAATGGTATAGGGTGTCCCACTTGGGTGTGGGGTTGGACTGGATGACCTACAAGGTCCCTTCCAACTCTAATTACCTGTTATCTGATAAGCATGTCATTTTTCTCTCTGGAATAAAGTCAGAACGAAAACGCTAATTCTGTTTGTTTAACTTCCAGATCCTACCGCCGCCGATGGGAGAAAAAATGTCATAGTAATTCATCCGGATTTTAGGATGATTGTTTTAGCAAACAGGCCAGGATTCCCTTTCTTGGGGAATGACTTTTTTGGAACCCTTGGTAAGTCAGGCACTGTGTAAAAGCTTCTATTTTATGGTCCTGTCTGTGGGGCGGGAAAGAATGCTACTTTTGTTTCATGAGTCTTGACTGCAGGAAGAAAAAGAAAACTCCCAAGGAAGCTACTAATTTAGGTGTATTAAAATCCTTTCTTTATTTTAGACTCCTTTGCTGTTTGGAAAAAGAAATATGTATTTTGGGCCATGCATAATTTTCCTAGAAAAATACCCCCCCTCCAAAAAAGAATGTAAATTAGTGGTGGTTTGTTCTCCGAACTTGTTTAGTTTCCCAATTGTTTTGTCACCAGGAATTTCAGTTGATTGTCCTGTTTATTATGTGGTATAATTACATTATTATCATTATTGTATTATGATTATGTGGTGAGTTGGTCACGCCATGTGATGAGGTCACACCAGCTGGATACGTGACTGCATTGTTCTGGACCGAGGCTTCCCAAGATCATGAAGCCGACTCCTCGTCCTGATAAAACCCCTTTTATTTAGGTTAAAATGAATTCCTCTCCAGCAAAGTCCCGGCCAACAGTCTTTCAAGAGATTTCACAACTGCAGACCTTTATCAGGCTTGCAGAGCTGCCAGGCCGATATCTTCCAAACGCCACGCTGTAGCAGCAATTACTTGGCGAGAAGTCAGGAACAGATCTTCCCCCTAATGAATTGAACGAATTGTCTCCTGCAAAGCCCGCTCCCCTTTTCACTCCTCTTTATTCCCTATGGGAGGGGCCATTCACCGTCCACCTGTGGCTTTACTCCTGAGTCGACCCTTGTTCCTTAGCTGTTCCCTTCTCCTGGCAGCTCTGTGCATGCGCACACTAAGAACAGGCTCCAGCTGTTCTTCTTCCCCACTGATCTCTGACTCCAAAGGCAGCTGATAACTGTCGGACAGCTCCATCTCTGCCTCCGACGCAGAACCCTCGTCAAAGCCTTCCCCAGACTCCAGGACTGGCCCATGGTCTTCCCCGTTATCCACAACATACATAAGACCTGTCAAACCAAAGCAAACTGAAACAAGACACTTCAACCAGGTAATTGATGATGTTACCCACCCTGGTGATGAAACGTTCAGAAACTAAACAGCACGCTGTGAGAACAAATCAGCAACAACCTCTACCACCCGAGCTACAAATATTTCTTTCTTAAGAACGCAAGTCAAAAATAAGCTCCGTTTTGAAGGAGCTAGCAGTAGCTTAGTCGGCAAGCTAAGCTTCAACCCGTTGTGCTTTCTTCAAAAATTTAAAATATCTCGCAGCCCCCCTGTGAGTTCCCTGTGGATCCACAGGTTTTCTTCTTGATTACGCGCGGCAAATGAATGACCGTATTGGACGCCGTTTTCTCCTTTCTTGTCCCTGCTTATTCCAGGAGATATATTTAGCTGTCACGCTGTGGATAACCCTAAACCAAACTCAGAACTGGCCATGCTTCGACAGTACGGACCTGACGTTTCTGACTTGGTTCTCCAGAAACTGGTAGCGGCTTTTGGAGAGCTGCGGAGTTTGGCTGACCAAGGAATCATAAATTATCCTTACTCGACTCGAGAAGTAGTGAACATTGTCAAGCATTTACAGGTACTGTAGGGCTGTTTCTAATCCTGGACAATTCACTAATAATTGAAGACATTATCTTTAAAGTCTACCTTAACATTTAACAGAATAACAGAGTTGGAAGGGATTTTGGAGGTCATCTAGTCCAGCCCCCTGCTCAGGTGGGAAGCCTTATACTATTTCAAACAAATGGTTGTCCAGTCTCCTCTTAGAAAACCTCCATTACTGGAGCAATTCACAATTTATGGAGGCCAAGTTGTTCCGCCAATTTATTGGTCTCCCTGACAGGAAATTTCTCCTTAATTCTAGGTTGCCTCTTTCCTTTCCATCGCTTTCCATCTGTTGCTTCTTGTCCTACCTTCAGGGGCTTTGGAGCAGGAGTCACCAACCTTTTGGACCTCAGAGACCTCACCAAACTCATCATTTTAAATCCTGTGGACCAGAGACCCTGGGGAAAATCCCCCCAAAAAGTCTGCAGGAAAATTCCCCACCCCGTTTTCTTACCAATCGATCGTTCTTTATTTGGGATCGCAGGATACCGTCTCCAGCTCCGTTCTCAGGAGTAGAGAGAGAGAGAGAGAGAGACTTTTGGCTTCATGCAAGGAAAGCAGCAGAAGCAGCAGAAGTCTTTCTTTCTCTCCCCCAAACTCTGCCAGAAATGAGTCTTTGTGAGACTTGTCGCGCCGACGCAGCCTCTTGGACCAGGATGCCTTGCAGGGCCGCCTCACTGCCTTGTGTTGTTCGCAATGCAAGCCTTGTGTTCCCATGGGCCATGTGGGCGGCGCAGCCTTGTATACTTGCGCAGCCTGGATTAATTGTTTTGGGGGTGACGTTTCTCTGCAGACCACCAGGGAAGACGGGAGAGCAGCCTTCCAATATTTGAGGGGCTGCCACAGAGAGGAGGAAGGAGTCAAGCTATTTTCCAAATCACACGAAGGCTAGACAGGAATAATGGATGGAAACTGAACAAGGAGAGATTCAACCTAGAAATAAGGAGAAATTTTCTGACAGTGAGAACAATCAACCCATGGAACAGAAGTTGCCTTCGGAAGTGGTGGGAGCTTCATCCCTGGAGGCTTTCAAGAAGAGACTGGACTGCCCTCTGTCAGAAATTGTGTAGGGTCTACTGCTTGGGCAAGGGGGTTGGACTAGATGACCTACAAAGTCGCTTCCAATCCTATTATTCTAACTCAAATAGTTAAAAAAGAAAGATCCTGGAATGCTTGTTTGTGCCAGGGAACCGTCATTATTCCGCAAGCTGGTCGTTGAACCGTTCCATAAATGAATCTAAAAACGACGGAAGGAACGAACATAATTATGGCAGAAAGCAAGAGGCAATCTTAATTCACCCACTCGGTTTCTGCTTTGAATTCAGGTTTCTGGTTTGCTTGGCCTCGGGGGTTTCCGAGAGATTTGGATCAGGGGAATGGCTACATTTATTCAGATTTTCTTCAACCAGCAGCAAGGAGAAACAGGAGTAATTTGTTTAGGGCAATGGTCACCAACCACTGGTGGTCTGTGATAATATTTTGGTGGTCCGCAGAGAAATGTCACCCCCAAAGCAATTAATCCAGGCTGTGCAGGAGCACCAGGCTTGCGTCGCTTGCATTGTGAACAACACGAGGGAGTGAGGGTAGGGATATAAGGGTCGAGGGGGGAACATGCCCCATGCGCCCCACGCACATGGCCTGGCCACTGGGCTGCTTCTTTCTGCTTCTTTCTTCTGCTTTTGGCTGCACGCAAGGGAAGCAGCGGAAGTCTTTCTTTCTCTCCCCCAAACTCTGCCAGAAATGAGTCTTGGGGACCCTGTAAGGCCTCCTGCTCCAAGAGGCTGCACCGGCAAAGACTCATTTCTGGCGGAGTTTGAGGGAGAGAAAAAACGACTTCTGCTGCTTCTGCTGTTTTCCTTGCATGAAGCCAAAAGTCTCTCTCTCTCTCTCTCCCTCTCCCTTTCTCTCTCCCCTTGAGAGCAGAGCTGAAGATGGTATCCTGCAATCCCAAATAAAGAACAATCGATCGGTAGGAAAACGGGGTGGGGGATTTTTCCGGCAGACTTTGGGGGGGGGGGATTTTCCCAGGGTCTCTGGTCCGCGGGATTTAAAATTATGGGTTTGGTGGTCCCTGAGGTCCAAAAGGTTGGTGACCTCTGGCTTAGGGCACACAGGCATCCCCCTCCCCCGTCCATCAGGTAATGGGAGCCAGTTGGGATGAAAGGAAGGAGGGAAGTGATAACAATCTCACAGCTTGAAGACGGAGGAAGGAAATTTAAGCCATACACAATGTCTGTTTCTATTATTGTGTGGCTCTGCTAAGCCTTCTGCCGCGAAATCAGGTTTGGTTTTATACAAACGTAAGTCTGTTTTGAGTTAGAAGGTGTTTATACTGCTGGCAGGCAAAAGTCAAGCTTCAGGATGTGCATATTCGCAGCATGATTTATTTAGTTTATCGCCTGGCTGCTCGGATCGTCCTAGCCGAATAAAGTTATTTTGCATCATTGGCACGTCTGAAAAGCAAGGAAGAAAATGTGCCTTGGAAAAACAAACGGGGCATCCCGTGGTCAGGAGACTCTATAGATGACCTCCAGCTAACCTTTTCCTCCTTTAGTAGCTCTCTTCATTCACATAATATACTGTAATATAGTTCCCACCGCTTTGCTGCTGTTAGTTGCAAAGTCGTGTCCGACCCATCGCGACCCCATAGACAACGTTCCTCCAGGCCTTCCTTCCCGCAACCATTTTCTGGAGTCCATTGAAGCTCACGCCGACTTCTTCAGGGACTCCATCCAGCCTCCTCCTTCTCTGCCATTCCCCACATCTTCTTCTACTCCCCTCCATCATTCCCAACATGAGGCTCTTCTCCAGGGAGTCCTTCCTTCTCACTAGATTTCACGAGTCTGCACTTTTCTCTTCTTTATCCTCTCAGCTGGTGTTTGGAACGCTGTGCGCGCGCACACCGCGAAGTAGCAATCCAGGGAGAGCATAGCGAACGCCTAGATCAGTGATGGCAAACCTTTTCGTGGTGGTGTGCCAAAAGCGAGCGCGTGCGCCGGCACCCACAATGCAATGCACCATCACCTCCACCACCCCGTTTTTCTGCCCATTTGAGGCCTTTTTCGGAAGGAAGCTGAGGGAAGCCTCAACAGCCTTCGGAGGCTGAAAAACGGGCCCATTTTTCGGCCTCCAAATACCGGAAGTGACGAAACCGGAAGTGCCTGAAGTGACGAAATGGGCCCATTTTTCAGCCTCCAAAGGCTGCAGAGGCTTCCCTCCAGCCTCTGGGAGGCCAAAAAAGGCCTCAAACCAGCTGGGAGGCGCCTGCCATAGGTTCCTCATCACGGACCTAGATTGTTATTTTTCTGTGTAACGGAACCGGCTTTCAAGTCGCACTTCCCATCACTGACAACAAACTCACACTTGGTTTTTTGTTTTGTTTTTCTGTCTCTTTCTTCATCTCTGCAGAAGTTTCCAACCGAAGGGCTTGCCAACGTGGTTCGGAACGTCTTTGATTTTGACTCCTACAACAAAGAAATGCGTGAGATTTTAATTAGGACTTTGCATAAACACGGAATACCGATCGGAGCCAAACCCGACAACGTACAGATGGCAAAGGAGTAAGGCTTATTGTCTGCCGTATTGCTGCTAGTTCTAAAAACCTGGAAATGCTTGAAGCAGATTCCATGTTTCCTCCGAAAAGGGCCATTCGGTTGCGTAATTATTTATTTACACAACATTTATCAGTGTGTATCTTTACGGGATACAGCAATATGTTTCAATGGAGGAGTCGTGGTTTGTTTGTTATTTTTTAAAAAAATCTAATTAACCTTGGTGATTTGTGCAATGGAAATAAATAAAGGGAAATATTTGTTTGATTCTTCTTGGTTTCTCTTCATTGATTGGTCTTTTGCTAATTTATTGCTGTTATGTGTACGAAGCCGGTTTGTAGCAGTTTAAAAAAAAAATATGTAAATGAATGAATTGACTTGGCTTTTAATCCTGCATGGGGCAAATTTCCCCAAAGTACTGCAAAAACTTCAAAAGATCTTGTTTCAATAGGTTTTGCCTGGCATCAGTCAAATGTCTCTGGTGAGCGATATCATTTTGTAATGATGTCATTAAACCAATGACGCCAATCACCCACGCTGACATATTTTTGTATTTTAACGAAAGTTTATGAATAACAGACACCGTTGCTCCCAATTAGACCCAAAATTTTCTCGTATTTCTTTGACCTTGCAATATTCCAGATTCTTTTCACATGGTATCCAGTTTGCTTAATGGTGTTTATGGACACCCTGTGTTATGGAGTGCTTATTCACTGAACATCAGACAGATACCTTGATGTGTATAAATAATAATCATCGGACTTTGCATGATCACATTTTTGAAGCTCAGAAACCATCTTCAATTAAAACAAGTATTTCCCTTTATGCTTGGAAAGGTTACGCGAAACAGACTTGAAAAAAATTGGTGGTTATGTTGTTTGTTTTTTGAGATAAGGAGGAAGACAAAATCCACTTTTCTTGCTATAAATCTCATTCAGCGGTTTGAATAAACCATCTCTAGCATCAACATTAACTGAGTAAAATCTCACAGGCAGCATTGCAGATACTAATTCAATGGCTTCCCGATTTTGAACCAGCGGTCCCTTAAATCTGTTTTGTTTAGCGACCGTTCAAAGTTAACAACAGCCCTGAAAAAAAAAAACATGACTTGTGACCATTTCTCACACTCACGTGATCAAAATTCAGATGTTTGTCAACCAGCTCATACTTATGACAGGTCGCGGTGTCCCCGGGGTTGCGTGATCCCCTTTTGCCACCTTCGGATGCACAAAACCAACGGACAAAGCCCAATGTCAGGATTCCAGCCATCGCCCTAATGAAATCATGATTCTCAAGCCAAACTTCAAAAAACTTCAAAGGATTTATTAGAGGCGACATACTGCCACTGCCCTATATGAAGCCAACTCTGGCCGATGTAATTTACAGACACCTATGACCCTGTTTCCCCTTTCCCCCCAGGTGTGTCATAAACTAGATTATCCAACTGAGCACATTCACAGGCTGGGTGTCATCATTCACGTTATTTGCGGGCAAAAACTCTGGTATTTCAGTTACAATCTTTTAAAGAGAAGAATTGGAATGTACTTCCGCTTTCAAACTGCTGCACTGTTCTCCCAGATTTCCTTCCTCCTCTCCCCCCCACCCTTTTCTTTATGGCAACTACTAAAACAGGCATAGGAATGTTTGATGGGTTGACATTCGGCTCCTCTCACTTCTTGAAGGTGACCTGTATAAAGCAAAAACAAATTGAGGGCAGATGTAGAATTTAGGGTTGCGAACCCCCCCACTCTCCCAGCCATGGTTGGATTTTCTGCATGGAATCTTGCTGTAAGGTGATTGGTCTGGACATTCCTACTCTTTACCCAAGATGCCTCTGATAATGGGTAAGCCCTTCCACTTATTTACAGTCACCAATGACCCTGTTTCCTCCCCCCCCCCGGGTGTGTCATAAATCAGATTCTCCAATTGAGCACATTCACAAGCTGCGTGTCATTAATCACGTTCTCCAATTAAATATATTCACGGGTAAAAGCTCCGGTAGTTTAGTTACAATCTTTTAAAGATAAAGAGTTGGAATGTACTTCCGCTTCCAAATTGCTGCACTACTCTTCCCGATTTCCTTCCTCCTCTCCCCCCTCCCCTTTTCTTATGGCAACTACTAAAACAGGCATAGGGATGTTTGATGAGTTGTCATCCGACTCACTTCACGACCGTGTTACGAACTTAATGACTGTCGCGATTCATTTCATGAACTGTGGCAAGACCGGTCGTAAAACAGGGCAAAGTTCACTTCGCAAATGTCTTGTTTTAGCAGAAACGTTGGGCTCCGTTGAGAGTGACAATTTTGAAATGTCCGTAAATTAGTGACTACTAAAAGTTGAAGTACGTAGTTAGTGACTGCTAGAAGTTGAGGAATGTGTTTAGTGACTGCTAAAAGTTGAAGAACGTGGTTAGTGACTGCTAAAAGTTGAAGAACGTGGTTAGTGGCTGCTAGAAGTTGAAGAACATGGTTAGTGACTGCTAGAAGTTGAAGAACGTGGTTAGTGACTGCTAGAAGTTGAAAAACGTGGTTAGTGGCTGCTAGAAGTTGAAGAACCTTCTCACACTTTCTCCCTGTACATATCTAAGGAGCTTTTTACGCGGTTGTGTAAAGGACACAGCAGAAATTCAAACAAGAGGGTGACTCACACGGAACGGTCTGCGCGTTGGTTGCCCAGTTTCCATGTTTAGTTCTGTGCAAACATCATCTTCATCTGTTACCACTGAAGGCACTCAAGTGGAGAGAACTTTTGGCTGCACGTCCAGACTTTTGTTATTTGACATTTACTTTTTCCCTTTCGGTTGCTGGATTACAAGGACAACAGTTGCAATCGTTCCCTGCTCTCCAAAGTTTAAAAGTCCTTCAAAAGAGACTTTATTTTGGTCAAGTGTGAACTGTTGTTGTAATATAATAGCATCAGAAGGAGAGTTAACTTAATCTTGCATAACTTCTTCGCTGGTAATATTGTACTGCTAACTAGAGCGCGCAAAACCGTTCGGACCCAGGCTTCATAAATAATTATTCACAAACTTGTTTTAAAAACAAAACATATTTTATTGCAACGCTGGGAATTGTTTTCATTCCTAGCCAGAACTAATCTTAAACAATCCCCCAAGATAAGCACATGCCTTTCAGTTCTGTGAAGTGCTGCCAAAAACAGAAGTATCCAATGAACTAAGAAAGAAACCAACCGAAGTACAAGAAAAAGCAACCGAAGTACAAAGAGCTTCAAAGATGACTCGGAATGGATCGAACGACTTTGCTTTCTGCAAAGGTTTCGTCATCTTGGCCTGACTTTTATCCTTTATGGGAGGGGCAATCACCTCCCAGCCTTACTTCCGAGTAGCCACTTTTGCCTCAGCTGCTCTTGCCTTCTGGCAGCTCTGTGCACATGCGCACTGGGAACATGCTCCCCTTGTTCCTCTTCCTCACTGCTGCCAGATTCCAGAGGCTTCGGAGGCAGCACCCGACTCCCAGATGGTCGTGGCGCCATCTCTGCATCAGACACAGGATCCTCACCTGAGTCCACCCCAAACTCCTGGACTGGTCCTCGTTCTTCCTTACTGTCCGATTCTACTGCTGTCTGCACCAGCTCCGGTGAGCCACAACATTGCAAAACAGTTCTCTGTTGACCCAAGGGTGCTTTTTTCAAGAGGCAACTGGAATTTTCTTTGCTTTTCCTTGAAGGCGCTTCGCTTCTCATCCAAGAAGCTTCTTCCGTTCTGATTGAACGGTGGAGAATGGAAGAATTTATATTCCTTGCAGTCCTCTGGTTGTTAGCGCTCTTTCTGAGAGTCGTTGAGGCCACTTGGACAGATCACCAGATAAACTGGTCCCCGTTCTTCCCCACTGTCCGATTCCGCTGCTGTCTGCACAGGCTGCCGGCGAAACACAACACAAAACAGGTGCTAGACCAGTGGTGGTAAACCTTTTTCGGCTCCCATGCCAATAGTTGCATGCGCGCTTGTGCGCTTGCGTACCAGCACCCAGGAAGCAATGCGTGCTGGGTCTCCACACACACCCCTGTGCATGCACACACAACCCCCCCGCAGCACATTGTGCATCTGTGTATGTGCGTGCAATCCCCTTGCCACATGCCACGTGCCTGCCCACAAGATTCCCTTGTGCGCAATGCATCTGCACCGTGCATCTCTGCGCATGCGCGCACAATCACCCCTCTGTGCCATCCATCTGCACATACACGCACGATCCCTCCACAGGCCGCCCGTCTCTGCGCATGCGCACTTCCCTCCCGTGCACCCCTGCCTCCCCACGAATGCGCGACAGATACCCAACAATTCCCCTGGCACATGAGACCTCACCCAGAAGAGCCCCACTGCGTATAAATGCGCACCGCCACCACCTGTCAGGTAGTGGCGGTGCGCATTCATACGCAGTGGGACTCTTCTGGGTGAGGTCTCGTGTGCCAGGGGAAAATGGCTCTGCGTGCCACTTTTGGCACGCGTGCCATAGGTTCGCCATCATGGAGCTAGACCTATACTTGAATACAGCTCATCAGTCTGGAACCCATATCATGTATCTGACATTAACACAATTGAGAAAGTCCAGAAATATTTCACAAGAAGAGTTCTCCACTCCTCTACTCATTGCAAAATACCTAATGCCACCAGACCTGAAATTCTAGACCTAGAAAACCTTGAATTACACCGTCTTCGGTCTGATCTAAGTATGGTATATAAAATCATACATTGCAATGTCCTACCTGTCAATGAATACTTCAGCTTCAACTATAACAACACAAGAGCACACAATAGATACAAACTCAGGGTAAACCGCACCAAACTCGATTGCAGGAAATACGACTTCAGCAACAGAGGGGTCAATGTCTGGAATACTCTACCTGACTCTGTGGTTTCTTCCCCAACCCCAAAAACTTTAACCTTAGACTGTTGACCTCACCCCTTTCCTAAGAGGTCTGTAAGGGGCATGCATAAGCGCACCAATGTGCCTATCGTCTCTGTCCTAATGTCCCCTGTTATTCGTACCCATTTCAATGTACTCTTAATTGTGTTTTGAATTATATCTGTTATCTAAAACATGCTTGACAAATAAAATAAATAAAAAGAAGGAAAGAAAAGGAAGGAAAGAAAGGGAAGGAAGGGAGG